GGGGACGCGGGACGGAGCAGCGGTCCCGGGGGGCGCGCGCGCGCCGGAGGCATGGAGCGCTGCCCCAGCCTGGGGGTCACCCTCTACGCCCTGGTGGTGGTCCTAGGGCTGCGGGCGGCCCCGACCGGCGGCCAGCACTATCTGCACATCCGTCCGGCTCCCAGCGACAACCTGCCCCTAGTGGACCTCATCGAACACCCGGACCCTATCTTTGACCCCAAGGAGAAGGATCTGAACGAGACGCTGCTGCGCTCGCTGCTCGGGGGTCACTACGACCCGGGTTTCATGGCCACCTCGCCCCCCGAGGACCGGCCCGGCGGGGGCGGGGGAGTATTGGCCGGGGGCGCCGAGGACCTGGCGGAGCTCGACCAGCTGCTGCGGCAGCGGCCGTCGGGGGCCATGCCGAGCGAGATCAAAGGGCTGGAGTTCTCCGAGGGCTTGGCCCAGGGCAAGAAGCAGCGGCTGAGCAAGAAGCTGCGGAGGAAGTTACAGATGTGGCTGTGGTCGCAGACCTTCTGCCCCGTGCTGTACGCTTGGAACGACCTGGGCAGCCGCTTCTGGCCGCGCTACGTGAAGGTGGGCAGCTGCTTCAGCAAGCGCTCGTGCTCGGTGCCCGAGGGCATGGTGTGCAAGCCGTCCAAGTCGGTGCACCTCACCGTGCTGCGGTGGCGCTGTCAGCGGCGCGGGGGGCAGCGCTGCGGCTGGATTCCCATCCAGTACCCCATCATTTCCGAGTGCAAGTGCTCGTGCTAGAACTCCGAGGGGGCCCCCCTGCTTGCGCCCGGACACTTGATCGATCCCCACCGACGCCCCCCCAATCCCCCCTACACACACACACACACACACACACACCCCACACCGCCTCCAACCAGTTCTGCCACCCTCTAGCGAGGGTTTTCAATGAACTTTTTTTTTAAATGGCTACAGAGACCTAGCTTTCTGGTTCATGTAATGCACTGTTTAACGTGTAGGAATGTATATGTGTGTGTATATACGGTCCCAGTTTTAATTTACTTATTAAAAGGTCAGTATTATACGTTCAAAGTTACCGGCTTCTACTGTATTTTTAAAAAAAATTAAGCAAAAGAAAAAAAAAGAACAGAGAAAGAGAGACTTATTCTGGTTGTTGCTAATAATGTTAACCTGCTATTTATATTCCAGTGCCCTTCGCATGGCGAAGCAGGGGGGGGGAAAGTTATTTTTTTCTTAAAGTACAAAGAGAAAGGGGGGAACTTTTGTAGAAGGACTTTTTAAAAGCTATTTTCCATTCTTCGGAAAGTGTTTTGATTTTCCTTGGACCTCGAAGAAGCTATAGAGTTCAATGTTATTTTACAGTTATTGTAAATATAGAGAACAAATGGAATGACTAATCATTGTAAATTAAGAGTATCTGCTATTTATTCTTTATAATATCCCGTGTAGTAAATGAGAAAGAAGTGCAGAGCAGGATTAAAGAAAAACCACTAAAACCCACTGCGCTCCACACTGCGAGTCTCTGTGTTGGTGATTGATGGGGGGGGGGCGCGGGAGGGGGCCGGGTAGGGGATGCCGCCGTGCGTACCGTGCCTACTGGGAGATGGGGTTCGTCTCCTCGGACTCCCTTACAGTGGGGTGATGGAAGTATGACTGCTCAGTTTTCAAGGGGGGGGATGTAAGTCTCAACCCCCTCTTTTAAGTCTCACGTGGCCTCCGCCCTGTCTCCCAGCTTTTTCTCGCCCCCCCCATATCACTGAAGCCCGGGCTTGTAGTGACCTCAACACCCAGCCGGCCCCCTGGAGCTGACCCCAGGCTGGGCTGAGGGGCGGGGGTGGGGGAGAGGGTGGGCGGCCGCTTTGTCCTGCCTGACAGGCCTTTCACAATGGGGACACGTGTCTTTCACACCTACCCTGGGGGCGGAGTGCCGCTGAAACTTGACCCCCGAGGAATGGGGGGGGGAGGGAGATCAGAGCGCGCCCACCCAGATCCCGCCACCCCTCCCGCCTGGCACCCCTCCCCACCTCCACAGACAGCCCGGGTTAACCCTTTGCAGGCCCGGAAGCCCTGGTGGGTTGGAGCCGAGTTGATAGATTCCCCTCGGAATCGACAACTCC